TTGCCCAATTCCATTCAAATAAATGTAGGAAATTGTGTTTCCTACAAAGACATTCTCTTGCATAACCATAGCAGAACCAACAAATCTGGAAACTGACACTGATACCTGATGGCCACCTAACACTCACTGTCCTTTCAAGTCTTACCATCATTCCACCACATCTTTAGGGGTAAAGAGAAGCCATGACTTTTTTACTCTCCGGAACCAAAGGATTCCTGTCTTTACTTGACTTCATGACATTGACATTTTGGAGATTACAAGCCAGTTATTTTGTAAAATGTCCATTTGGGTTTTATCTCATTATTTTCATGATTAGATTTATGTTCCATTTTGGTGGAAATATCCTGGAAGTGATGCCAGTTCCCTTGTTACAACCTACCGGGTGGTATATGATTTTCATTTGTCCTTCTTGATTAAAGTACTGTCTCCCAGGCTTCTGTTTATCTACGTGGCCTATTTTATTCCGTGGGTTATACTCCACTGCCATTGCTATGTATTTTGATGCCCAGAATGTTCCTTATTTGGTCAGTGGGAGTTCTCTGGGCAGATACCCATCATCCTTTGGGCGCTCTCTGGCTTTCTGGCACAACAAAATGTTCCAGGCTCATCTTGGAATCTTCCTGCTTCAGCTCTGGAATCAGCTATTTCTCTAAGGAGCCCCAGTTCCTTTGAGTGGGAAATAGTATTTAAAAGACAAGATGTGAACTCTAGGTAATGTGGAGGTGTCACTGTCCCAAGACCTCTGGGAAGTAGTAGGCAGTATTTGTGTGTGTGATGCATACACACATTATATATTACTTCAATATTTATTTATGTAGATCAAAACCCAAGAGGTAGTCATAGTAATGCCAGCAGTTCCAATCTGATACTGCAGGTCTGTTCTGTTTGTTTCATTTTGTTTCCCTTTCTGAACTTTAACTCCGCTCCCATTTAATGACTTTAGAATTGTTCAGTAGGAGAAAGGAAGAGGAACTGCATTGTAATCTTGATGGTTGGTGCCAAATTACCTCCCATTAAGAATGTACTAATTTAGAAAAATACCGGATGGCCTCACTCATAGCAGGAATCTAGAAAACTTAAATAAGGGACCAGGAAAATGAATAACTATAAGAAAGAAAATATCAAAATCAACAAACAACTATGAACCAGAGACACTCTATGAGGGGTGGGGGTGGGGAAAGGAGGGATTGGGGTCAAAATGAGGGGGTTGTAATTGTATGGGGAATATAAAAATAAAATTTAAATTAAAAAAATGAAAAAAATAGAATGTACTAATTTATACTGCCAGTAGATATTTTTGAGATTTTTCTTTTGCGCTTGGTTATTTTTGAATATTTCTAATGAAAAATTAGGGAACTTGATAAGGAAAGTGTGTTAGAGTTGGTTGTAACTATTCAGTTGGATTCTGCTGGATGGGCCTCAATTTCTGCCCTAAGGAGAACACTAAAAACATCTCTTATTGTTGGAATGACTGCCTGGCTGTTGCTGACAGACACTTGCTTACAAGAGTGGGTTCTGTTGCCCTCCACAAACAGCAGGCAAATTGACCCTATCCTAGAGGCTTGAGCCATTCCTGTGACTTCTGAAGATGCTCTTGCAGGCAATAGGCAGGAGCAGGCGGTGGAGACCAGGAGGTCAGCGGTTCTCTGTGCTCTGCTTTTTTCTTTCTTTCTTTCTTTCTTTTTTATAATAAATTTTATTTTTATATTCCCCATACAATTGCAACCCCCTTATTTTTAAAGGGAACAGACCCTGAGGCAAGAGGTCTCTCTGGACAATTGTGCATGGGAGTCCTGAAAGCTCTTTCTTGTGATTAAAATAAAGATTTCATCATCCCAGAGGAGAAAGGCATTTCTAATTTTAGCAGATATTAAATCAATTCTATACAAGATTGAAATTGCCCATATCTGACCTCTTGGGTTAACTTGCATAAATGGCAACAATAAATGACTCATGATTCATCCTTTAATATGTTGGTACTTCTGCTCCTCTAGGTCTCAGGGCCTGATAAGTGCTCCTCTTCCCACTTCTCACCTGTGGCTCCACCTATAGCATTGACATTCAATCCATCCTTCCCACGCAAAACAAATGGACCTTCTCAGGGGAATATAGGCTCCCTTAAAGCTCCCTCCTTCCCCGCACACAGAATTCCTCCTCCCTTGGCTCTCTAGGCCCTTAGCTGATGCTCCACCTGAGCTTTGTTGTTTTTTTTTTAATTAAGTTCTGTCTTAAGTTTTAAGTAGTTGTTTAATTCCTTCTCCTCCATTAGTCTGCAAACTCTAAGAACAAAGACTGAGTCTTATTCACTCCTGCACCCCAGGAATAGTACCAAGCTTTGGGTAAAATGAATCCTAAAAAGGTTGTCAAATGAATTAGTGAATGAATGAACAAATGATTGGAGTAGAAGTGGGAATGGCCATCCCCCAAAGACTACAGCACCAAACATTCCTCAAGTCCGTGGAGCCCAGGTTTCCAAAGACTTCAAAAGACCACTCCAGAAGCCACAGCGGGCCCCATGCTCAGCGCCTTTGTGGTGAGCCATGGTCCTGCCTTCTTGTACCCTCATCACTCCAGATGCTCGGTCCCAGCCCCAGGAATCAGGTTGTCTTTGTTTGAGGCCTACTTTCTTCCCCGGTGAAGCTCCACTGTGGGGAAGCCCACACCTGCAAACCTTCTATACTTGGCGCCAAGTAGAGAATCATCTGCTCCTCCAGGCTCAGGGACAGTTCAAGCTGCCTGGCTGGGCCACTGGGACTCCTACGGAGTCAAATTTCCTTTTCCAGGGACACTGGGTGTCATGGGGCAGTCACCATGTGCTGCAACACTCCTTGACCACCCAGGAGTGCCCAGGAGGTTGGGATGAAATTATACATACATATGCATTATTTTATTTATTTAATGATTTAGAGGGGGAATTGTAGCTTTGACTTTTTTTCTCAAACATGGATGTCTTACATGTCAAATTTGGACAATTTTCAATGTCTTTATTATATAGAGTAAGCAAACTTTTTAATTCGACTTAAGGGATAATGAAACAAATGTGAATCGAAACAATACCATTTTCTTCTAACCGGCATTTAAAAAATTTTTGCACATATTTTAAAACAATTCCCAATACTTGTGAGGTTGTGGGGAAATGAACACTGCCAGTGATAGTATAATATGGAATAACTTTCTTGGTGGGCATTCTGAGGTTTATCAAAAGTCACTAAAATGTGGTTTTTTTCATTCAGCAGTTCCATTTCCAGTAATTAATCCAAAGGAAATAATTAAAAATGCTATAAGGCCATTGGTTGAGTTAAAAAAAAAATTGGGAACAACCTTAAAGTCCAAATTACCAATACAATAGAAAGATGTACAGCCATTAAAAATGATGCCGATGAATTGGAGAGGGGGAAGCGCAATCGATTATAAAGTTTAGAAATCCCAAACAACTATGGAAGTGACTTTTGGAGAGAGGTATGTATACAGAAACGAACACTACTAGATGTAGTATTGTGGGTGAGTTTAACTTTCTTTAATTTTCTGAAATGAACATGTATTACTCTGGCGTGCCTAAAGACTTTTAAGTCGTCTGGGTAGACCCACCTGAGAGATTGTTCCTACTTTCGTTGTTTTCCAGGGATCAAAACTTTCCAAGCTGGGAGGCAGGAGCTGGGAAGCAGAGCAGGGCATTCCTTTTCTCTCTCCCACCCTTTTCCACCCCGAGGCCACCACTTCAAAGTCAGCCTTTCCCCAGCAGCCCTGCAGGGCTTGCAGGCTGTTACCTTTGTCCTCCCTCACCTGTCATCAAGGAAGTTACCCCAACCCCAAGCTTGACCCCACATTGTCAGTCTCTCTTTCCCGAATTCCTTACCTGCTGGGACATGTTTCTGCCTGGTAGTTTGGTTTCCGGAGACAAAGACAACTACACAGTCACTGGAAGACGCTAAAAGTCTTTGCTCTTTTTTTTCCTAGAGCAGAAACAATTCCTGCTGCTCTGTGAACGTTTTATCAGGCTCTGCATAACTTAAATGCCTGCTATTCCACCCCCAGGAGGGGTTGGAGCTGGGCACACTTTACTCTGTGAAAGTTGTTTTTTAATCCCAGTGGAAAGTGTGCTGTTTCCATGCCTTGAAATTAGTTTTCTTCTACCTAAAAAAAGAAAATGATGCCCACTGGTCAGAACAGCCTCCAAGAGACAGAAGCAATGCAGTGAGCACCTTGAGAAGCAGGCAGTGTCTGGCGGGGTGGAGGCTCTGGAGAACTACTTGGCCTCACCTTGGATAAGCTAATGCAAATCTTTATGCGTTTCCTTCTAGGTGGCACAGGGCTAGAGACTATTATGGCGCCCATCTACGGATTCCCTGAGTTTATACACACCTAATAAAGGGCATAGAATCTGCCTGCTACCTAGTGCTTTGAATCAGCTATTACCATCATCACTTTGAAAAGCTGGTAAAGTGCTCTTTCCTTCACCCTCTTGTCATTAATGGCAGTGATGTTTGCGTGGATTCTAAGAGGGCTGGTGCTGAGATTAAGACTGCGTAGCTGGTAGAGATGACTCCATAAGCTTTTCCCAACCAACACTGTATTAGAGAAACACATCATGACCATCCCTGCCAGTGCCCAGGGCCAGCGAAAGTGCACCTGGTTTTCTTATCCCAAAGTGTCCTGCACGTTCTTCTACAGGCTCTTACACCCACAAACTGAGAGCATGGCCAGCCTCTAGCCTGGCAGTGACCTCTTCACCTCTACCTTTTCATCTTTTTACCTCCCAGCTTTCTCCTTCCCAAAGTTTCCCTTCCATTTCCCTACCTCAGAGAATGGTGCTGCCATTTACTCACCTGGCTCAAGCTACCTTCTTCCTTACAAGACCGACAACTCCTTATGTTAGGGCGAAAAGGATGTCCCAAAGCTAATTCCATACAGGCTTTGTGGACTCCACCCCCACCCTAGGCCAAAGCCAAAGACACTGGGAACTCCAAATCCCATCACCACCAAAGGGAAGGTGGCTGGGACCTGAGGGTGGGGTTAAGCAGCCAGGTGGGTATAAAGCCAGACAGGTGGCCTTTGGAGGGGTCCCCCATTTTGGCTCTCCGCCAGCTCGGAGCATCCGGCCAGCTCTGAGAGTGCCTTTCGGTTTCCAGGTCGTCGGATCGGGTAGGACGCATTAAAGACTTTATTTCCCTATTTTCTCCCTGAGTTGTACATTTTCCTTATTTCCTTTTCCCCTGTAAATAAATCTTTTATTAACCTTTTGTGTGTGCCTGTGGTGGAGTATTCATAAGTCCCTTGTAAGCGCATGGGTGAGGACCCACAGCCAGGAACCCATTCAATATTGGGGCTGCCCTATAACACTTACACGGTCTCCAGGTACAGTATGTTTTATCCCCCCCAAATGCATTCTTCAGAAGAGATGGAGCACGTCGCCCCCACCCCCATTTACTAAGCCATTCCTCACCTTCTTTCCTGTTGCCATCCTTCCTTGGCTCATCCTGAGCTACTCTCCTCTGGGCCCTGCCTCAGGCACTGGTGCTTGAGTTTCTCAAATTGCGCTTTCTGCTGTCTTTGTACCCACACGTAAGTAGCATTTTGTCCCCCAGCCTCACTGAACTGACCCTTCTCTTTGTCGCCACACTGCCATCCCCGCCACACCTTACGCTTCCCTGTCCGCACCACCACTGCACACCACTGGAACTGTGGGGCTTGCCAGCGTATTAGACATTCCACGCAGGCCCCAAACACAAGGTCTGTTCACTGCCGAATCCCAGCGTGAGCAAGTAGTTGGCACCCTGCACACACTTAAAGACAAGTGAGGGGATGCGTTTCCACTTCTGTCTGTGCTCTCCTTGCAGCACAGATCACCTCCCTGTCTCATCTGCTGCCGGGCACCCCCTCACAGAACAAGCGTGTCACCCCTTCATGCAGTCTTACCTACATATCTCCCTAAGCCAAAAGCCACAAGTTCTAGCAGGTCCCACATCACCGTGTTCAGCAAGTACATCTGGAACTAAGCTGCCAAGCCCGAGTACCACTTCCCTACGAGGCCTTTCTCTCTGAGGGGAAAAAAAAAGGCGAAGGATGTAGAAATGTTCCCAGCATATTCCATCCTCTGCAAGGTTCTGCAGAAACTTTATGGAAGGATCACATATCTCACAACTGCCTCCATAAGAATTTTTTTTTTTTATTATTTAGAAATGCAGTTATATACATAGAATTAAAATTAAATTAAACTTTGTACAAATATTAAAATACTATCTTCACACCCACTGCAATGTACAGGATACCAAAAAATACATATATAAAATAAAATAAAGCAAACCCAAATTGATTGACTGACATCCTGCACAGAGTCAATAATGCATGTGTCGTTTTAAACCATTATATATGAGTACCATTCTGCAAAGGATTCCATAGTGGTGCGGTAAGAATTCAGGGCAGGTGTGGTGGGCCTCCACATAAGCCATGGCCATCTCTCCTCCCTGCCTGACAAGGCGAGTGTGTTACCACTGCATCCCCTCCAGCTAGCTCTGCTGCCTGGCAGAGGCTTCCACCTTGGGACATTTGTTCAAAATTCCACAAAGTTTTCCGCTGCAGATGAAGAGGTCCTGCTTCCCAGCACAGCTGAGCCAGCTGCCTTTCTTTCTGGGGAATCTGCTACTGTGCCACTCAGTCCACACATCTGTAAGCAAAATCCCATGCCCCTCCCAGGGCACCAGAAACAACTTTCCCTAAGCCAACAACTGCAAGTCTCAGCAGGTCCCACAAGCGCAGTTACCAGCCTTGCGGTCTTCAGCAAGCACATCTGGAACTAAGCCGCCAAGTACCACTTCCCTACTAGGCCCTCTCTCTTTAAGGGAAACCAAAGGCCAAGGATGTAGAAATGTTCGCAGCATATTCCATCCTCTCTGTAAGGACCAGCTCCCTGGGAATGGATGTGACATTATTGTGTGGGAAGCAAGTGGTTTGAGAGCAAAGCTGGGCGTGGGGTGGGGGGAGAAGGCCGAGCGTCATCTCTCCCTGTGCCACCACTAACGAAGCAGGAAAAGTATACCTTTGTCTTGCCATCCAGCTTCTCCGCAGAACTTTCAAGTGGAAGGGATGGGGAGAGGAAGAGGAAAAGATGAATAGGGAAGACAACATTAGCTTAAGCTCCGTTTGCAAGTGGAGTGTTAGAATGCACATTGAATTGCTTTATAAAACCAAAAGAACTCGAAGTGCCAGGACTCAGTCCATTCCACAGTTCACTCCAGTGAAATGGGAATACAGCACACCAGCTTCAGAAATGGCAGATGGAGCCTACCTACTGCAGTAAGGCATTGAAAGGGATGAGAATTTTAGGTGATTTTCACCATATACTGGCCTGTTACAAGTCGGTGGAATGTGACTATTACTTGCCAGGATATAAAACCTGCATTGGTTCAGCTCCCATGTGCAAAAATACACCTTTTTACTGCTCTTTGGTGCTGACCAAGTTCTCCTGGACAAGCCCTCTGCTGGAGCCCTCAGGGGGTTGCTGGGAAGAGAGGCTGTGGATAATTTTCCCACCTGCTTCAGATCCTCTGGCAGCCTCATTCGAAATAGGCCCCACCTCAAGGCAGCTGTGGAGTCCCTAATCCCTCCCAGAGGACAAAGCCCAGAAGCCCTAGAAACGGCAGCACATGGCTGACAGCTAAGTAAACTGCTTCAGGGAAAAGCAAACTAACTGTGAGAAGCCTACACAGAAGTCAGCAGCAACGGGAGGCCTGATTCTTGTACCCACAGGCCCAGGGGCCCCTGGGAGATGGGCCTCATCAAAGCTACTGGGGATGAGGTGCAGTGGGGAGGCTCCAGACTTTTTTCTCTCCTAACAGGTAGGCAAGTCTGGGCTTGTGACCCAGGAGTAATTTAAAGGGAGACTCGGTGGAAAGCTTCGTAAGGAAGGCTTTTCATTTTTTCAAAGGCCAAGCTGAATAAACTCAAAACGGGGAAAAATTATGATATACAAAAAGGGTAAGATCTTTCATTAAAATCATTCTAGAATAGAATTCAGATTTTAAAAGACGAAATAAAAGCTGCAAGTTCAGCAGTGAGACTGGCTCTGCCACCACTACTCTCTTTTGGGAGGAAGACAAGGGCACTGCGGTGGGAGGAGAGTCCATTTACGGTGAGGCAGTTTGGGGTCGTTAGTGACGCCCCTCCAGATGGGACCAGTGCCAGCAACCGCAGGAAACCGTCTTTTCTGAGGCCGAGGACACACACCCCACCCACATTTCCTCTTCCTCAGAGGCTCTTGTGTTCTAGTTCTAGCACCTTCACCAACCTGTTCCATCTCTAACCACACTTCCCTGGACTATGGGCACAGCACACAAGGGCTCCTGGGTGGGAAAGGGGAGACGTGGGAATGACCACAGGCACGCAGGCACTGCCCTTACCCTGAGAGGAAGGAAGACTACAGGAGGTGGCGAGAGGCCTGGATGAGCAGAGTAAAGTGCGTGTGTGAGAGTGGAGGCAGGAGGCTGAGAGGTCATTCCCCTCAATTTTTGAGGCCACCCACGCCAGGAGCTACCCTGTTAGGTCAGGTACTGAAAGTATATTGGGCTCTTTATTATTTTTACTACCCCAACCGAGAGGCTGGGGGAGGAGCAGGGGTGCCACCTGGGGTCAGCTTCAAGTTTCCAGCCCCAGTGCTCACAAAACAAAACATTCCTTAATGCTACATCCCTTGAAGATGGCAGCAGCCCTAGACTTGTCAGCCTTCTGCTGGAGCAGAAGCATTGGGAGTGCTGAGTCCACTCCTTCAACACCAGGGCTCCATTCTTCCACTGCAGGCCGACAAAGTTGGGGTGTATGCAAACTCTCAGGCCCTCACCAAGGAGCCAGGGAAGACCAGTTGTCTGTCAGCTGTGACATGTGGAAGGATGGCAGGGAGGGCAGATGCAGGAAAAGCAGCAGCACAGCAAGCAGCAGGCGGCTTCCTGGGCACAGGTACTAAGGCACGTGACTGTGGTGAGGAGGACCCCTAGGACTGGGCTGGAGCTGCCTGCAGCTGCCTGGGGGTTCAGTCTGTGACTCTCAGGCTCCCCTCCTCTCCACAAACCCAGAAGGGGGCAACATGCCCCAACTGCCAGTGACCAGAAGGGCATTCTGTAGCATCTCAGCAACTCTCCTGTCCCAGGATGATTCATTTCAGGTCACTATGGTCAGCAAGGCAGCCCAAGCTGCCCGGGATAAAACCCAGGAGGCAGCATGCAACTTCCCCTCATACTTCAGGGAAACAGCAAACACCAAGGCCAGGGAGGCTGATGTGGAAGAAGGAAGTGAGAGCTTGCGTATTAGGAGAACAATCATAATCAGCCACCTTTCCCTCTCTCAGAATCATCTGATGCTTCCTGGAAACTCAACAGGTTTAGGAGTCGGCACCCCTAAGCTAAACATCAGGTGCTGGGATGGCTTTGACATGATCTTCCACATCCTCCACCAAGGAAGGAAATGTACCACCAGTCTTAATCAAGGGCAAGCTAGGGACCCACACTCATGTCCCAATTAGAGCCACCCTAGGCTCCATAGCTTTTCACTTCTGGTTCTGCTCCTGCCAAGGGTGGTGGTACTAGACCTCAAAGAAAGCTGGCCAGACCCAGGCCTGGGCCCCCCGAAGTGGCAGAGGCCAGCAGTGCAGCCACTAAGGCCTGTAGGACAGTAACAAGCCTTTGTGACAGGAAAACTGGACGGGGTTGGGGGAAGGCACAAGTAAACACAGCGGCTCTTAGGCCCACATAGGCTGGTGGGGGCTGCCACCCAAGAGCTGGCTGGAGGGGACCCAGAGGACTCAGGGAAAGGAATGGTTTGATCTAACACATTCAAATATGTGTTAGATTCCCAACACAGATGGGAAGACTGGGCCAGGAAAAAGCCTGTTCCTCCAGCTGTCCAGCAGGCAGATGGCGAAAAATCTTCCTTGAGTTTCCAGCAAGGTGGGCCTACAAGCCCTCTGAGATACAGAGATACACAGATACACAGGTGGCAGCTCAGGTATCCGGGCAGGGTGGCTGGAGTACAGGGTGCTCAAACCCACAGGGAGAGGGAGGAAAGGCAGAGAGGACCATCTCAGGGAGAAGAGAGGCTGATGACAATCCTCATGCTTCTTTCAACAGTGGGATATCTGCAGGAAGAGAAAAAAGGAAAGCCCAGTGGTTAATCCCATATGGGTCTCTTTGCGACACACCTGATCCCACTGCAGTTTGTGCAGTCTTTAATTTATTCTCTCCACCTTAGCTCTGCTGGTTGAGTTATTTCTCTTATTTTTTTTTTTTTTTTAATTTTTATTGTGTAGAAGAACTGGGTTGTAGGCCAGAGATACAGGAAGTGGAGGGGGGAGAAGAAAATTAACCAGAGACAGAGGGGGGAGCACAACAGGCAGATTGACTGAAATATATTGCTGAGAGGAGCAGTGGGCAAGATGGGAGAGGTCTGCTGCACCATATGTGGGTCAGCTCCCTGACCAGGGATCAAACTCAGGCAGTAGTGGTGATAGTGCTGAGACTTAACCCCTAGGCCACCAGGGATGCACCAGTTGCTTCTCTTTCTATCCTTAATCTCAGCCTAGAGGTTACTAAGCCTTGCAGAAGCACCCCCTCCTCTCTAAAGCCATCCTCCAACTACGCAGTATTGAATAAATCACTTCCCTCTCTAGGTCTCAATCTTCTCATGTATCATTGGGGCTAAACTGATGCCTCGAGTCCTGAATTCCTATGGTACTACTGTGACAGACTGCTAGCTCAGGCATGACTGGCAATAAATTTAATAACCTAAGTCTTGGTTTCTGGATCCTTCATTCTGACAATGAATCTATTATTTAGGCTCCATCTTCCCAAATAACCAACAATCCATGCAGAGGCACAAGATGGGCTCTCAAAACTGCCTGTTTAATACATGGAACAAAGCAAGGTAGCAAGGGGGAGAGAGGGAGGAGCAGGCATCATTTTGGTCCCTTAAGAAGACTAAGGGTTGAGATTTGTATTTGGAAACGTGTTGACATGTGTGAACACAAAATATGTGTAGCTGGCTGCCTATGGGGTCACTGGCTTCCATTTTAAGCTTGTGTCAACTATTTAATGACCCCTTGCCAGATCTATATCCCACTAAGACAAAAGGTAGCACGTAGCTGATAACCAGGAAATTCTATAAACATGATCTGTATTAAAGAATTTACACCTTCTCTGCGTTTAGATATTCTAAGCCTTGGATATTTACTGTGCTCAGGATTCCTAGCAACATGAAGTTTGCTGTGGTTCTTTTAGGAGGGTTTGGTAAGTACAGAAGTCCTCATTGTCAAAAGAGCAGTATCTAGTCTGCAACCTGAATCACACTGGGATTTCATGCCAAGGTGTAGTTTCAAGTGAAAGAAGTAATATCCATGTTCCACCCTCCAGGCTCAGGCAAAGGCAGAGGTATCAGGAAATGGCAATTTTGTTCTGTGCTGGTTTGCCACAAAGGATCCAGACCCCATGGCACTTGTGGGGTTATAAATGCAGGCTTTGGAGCCAGATCCATCAGGTTTCAAATCCCAGTTCAGCCACTTCCTCAGGGGCTTGCCCTCTTTGAGCCTCAGATTTCTCATCTGTACAATGAGGACAGTAATAATATAATGCCTATATCTGTGCATACTCTGAGGTTAAAGTGAGATAATGCAAGAAAACCAACTAGTATAGGACCTGACATAGTCCTATTTAAAAAGCAGTTAAATGCTCTTTCAGAAACATAAAGAGCATAATGAAAGGACAGAACCTAGCCCCTACTCCAACCAGCTTTCTGTCCTTTGATTTAGCACAGCTCTGTGGCCACAAATAAGTTTCAGAGACTCCAAAATTCACAGAAAATAGTGAAAAGTCTCCCTAGGGAGTCCAAAGCCCCACTGGAGCTCTAAGGGTAAAATCCTATCTTATGCTAGTAGTCCAGGTGTTATCTTTCTTTGCCCCCAAATGTATCAATTATGAGTGAGGCTCATAGTCCTCACTCCCAGCAAGGATCCTGAGCAGCTAATAATTCATGATCAGCACAGGGCACTTACCATCTGTGTAGTCCTCCGACGTGAGGGATAAAAGGCTTTGTATGTCACTGTTCTCTGAATCTGGGGCTTCTTTGTGTGCCAGTCGGCTGTTCCCTGAACCGGCCACCCAGGAAGAGCTGGTTGCCTGATGCACCATCACAGTCTCTGAGCCCCGAGAGCCCCGAGCTTCAGATAGTCCAGACTGGCCTGGGGTCTCCTCCTCTCCACCTGCAGAGGAGCAGGCTCCCTGGTCCTGCAGCTGCTGCTCCCTCGGCACATGCCTCCCACTGGGCCCAGACCCTTCTGACAGCACAATTTGTACTCTGGGGTCAGCAGGTGGCACACAGTGACCAGAACTGCCATACACAGCTTCCTCATATGATGGTAGTGCAACCTGGACTCCATCCACCATGATGGAGATCTGGTCTCCAGATACGCCCTGGTCACGCCTGCAACCGGAGGAGGAAAAGAAAAAGGAAAAAGGAAACAAAGAGACAAATAAATGCCATAATATCAATAACACCAACCAATTTTGAGCAATACAAGGGCTTATATACTTAATCCCAGTGAATGCTTGACCTGAGTCCTTCTAGGTAGAGATTTGCCAAAAATGCAGATGAGACTCAGAGAAGTTATTTGCCCACAGTCACACAGCTGGTAAGGGAGGAAGCTGGGATGTGACACTGGTATAATACTGTAATATAAATTTTCCCAACTATCCAAAATAGATCCAAGTCAACTGCTGTCAAGTTTATCTGCATCTAGGGCCAAATTAAGGGTCATGTAGTACAGGTAGTTGTGCTGTCTCTTTCATCTCCTTTAATCTGGACAGCCCACTTAAGGTTTTCTTTCATGACGTTCACATTTTTTCCTACAGTTATGGTCAGCTATTTCCTACAATATCCTACAATTTGGACTTGTCTAATTGTTTCCTCAGGATTAGATCCAGGTCAACGTTTGCTGAGAGCACTGCACAGGTGATGCTATGTTCTCCTAGTGCACCACATCAGGAGACATATGGTCTACGGTTGGACCGTATTACCCCTAGACTGTGTTAGTACTTCTCAACTTCCTCATCTGTGCTTGCAGATTAAACCCGCACTATCTAATTCAAATGGTATACATGCTGTGAGGATCACATTAAGTGGTAATATAAAGAAGTGTTCAGAAGTTTCTGGAAGGAAGGGAAACGATGGCAAGATGACACAGAAAGCAGTGTGTATTCTGGCATATGCTTAACTTTTGCCAATCAAAATAAAACTTTTTAAAAAAGGAATACATACACACAGTACAAAATTTAAACAGGGTCTATAGTGAAAACTAAATTTCCTTTCCACTCAAGTCAGGCAAAATTAGCAGGTAACTTTTAACAGTCTTACTAGTTCACTATAAGGGGGAAAACCTCCCTAATTCAGATGAAATGCCACGTAAATCAGCTTGACTTTTTGAAAACAGCGAATGCTTTAAAGTAAATATTCCTCTTCAATCCTTTTTATTGTACTGTTTAACAACTAAAAACAGCTGCTATCCTAGCCCCTCCCCCAAACAAAACAAAATACAAAGAAAAATCACATAGTACACAGAGATTGAATATAGCCTGCTCTTTATTTGTAAATTCCAAAGCAGGAGCATTTTATTTAAGGCAGAATAGTTTGTTCCCTCACGCCTCTGAACGACGACAGTGACTGATGAAGGGCTGTGAATGAATATAAGACCATTTTCCTCAGAAAGAATGAGGAGCTGCCACAGCAACCTAAGCAATCGCAGAGGTCATGACAGCCTGGGAGAGAAGGACACACTAAGGTATCCACTCAGGGCCAGCGCACCCAATTTGCCATCCCCCTCCCAACCTCACCCCTTCAGTCTGGGATGATGTGAGGCTAATGCACTCAACTGGAAAGTGACAAAGACAAACAAGAAAATCACTTCCTCTGATTCCAGTATGGTATAATGCAGAGGTCGCAGATCCCGTCTGCATGAAAACCACCGGGAAATTTTATAAACACCACTAAAGCCAGGATCCCACTCGAAACCAAATAAATTTGATGTCTGCGGGTGGAGGCCCAGGTGCTGGTATTTGTTTTTAAGGCTCCACAGTGGTCTCTACGTGTAGCCATGGTTGGGAAGCAGGGGGACAGAGCTGTGGCTCACAAACAAGAGTCTGCATCAGAATCACCTGGAGGGCTTGTGAAACCATTATCACTGGGTCTCAGCCCCAGAGTGTATTCCATTGGTCTGGGTGGAGTGTAAAATTCTGCATTCCTAGCAAATTTCCAGGGTGATGCTGCTACTGGAACCACACTTTGAGGACCAGGGAAAATGACATGGCTTTGGAGTTGGACAGATGTGAGGTCAAATCTCAACTCTGTCATCATCTAAAGGGATGGTCTTGAGTGAATGACTTTAACTTCTCTGAGCCTCTGTTTCCTTATCTGTACTGGTCCTGTGAATATTAATATACGCAAAAACAAGCACAGTGCCAGGCACATCTATAAGTTTAACACATGGAGGGCCCTCGACCCTCCCCCTGGACACACATAGATCAGCAGAAGCTAGTAGGCTCATTGGCAACCCTCTGCCAGTCAAAGGCCAGTTCCCCACAACTAAGTCTGCAGCACCTACTGCCATTGGGCTCACCTGCTATGATGGAACGACTTCAGCTTTGGCTGCAGCAGCACAAACAGCACCACAAGGAGGAGAATGAGAGCCACGGAGCTGGCAGTGGAAGCCACTATGGAGAGTGTGGGAACTCCAAGTGATGTGTGCGCATCTTTGTCTGCAGAAACAAGTCATTGTCAGGAGTGTTTAGTACTGAAACATGTAGAACACGAGCTCCACAGTAGTTCTTGTCAAGGATCCTCTGCATGGCATCGTAAACAGGCGTGAAGCAGTCTGGGTGCTTTAGGACTGAATGAGCAGTGTGCTTTTACACACCACAGAAGGGGCCATTTCCCTCTCCCATTCCTGAATCTAAACTTCCCTTCACTTCAGGGCCTTAGAAGACCATCTGACACGTAAACTCACCTACCCCTGGAGACCTTACCTTTATAAACCACTTGTGATCCTATTCTCAATAACAGGTTCATAAACATCCACCATCCCACCATCTTAAGTCCCACTCATGTTTCTCCCTGTGTGGGAGGAAAACTGATAAGAACTGAACTGTACTAATCCCCTGTTCTAAGATCCTGTAGCATTAATTATAAAACCTCAGGCTAGTCCCCTCCCTTCTCTGGGATGTCACAGTCTGGAAGCCTAAGTGTAAGGCACAAAGATGGCTGTATGACACACTTCACTGCAGGCCGCTGAACTTTCCTGTCATGCTCTACTGGGGGAGGCAGTGGGGGGGGAGGCAGCAGCTGGATTGTAGTTCCATAATAAAACAGTCCATTTCCATTCAAGGAAAAAAAATAACATAAAAGAGCTACTATAGAAGGTATTAACATCGTGCTCATGTGTTAGCAGAACACAGCCAAAGGTCACTGCACTTGGTCAGGCAAACAAGAGATCCCAGGCATCAAAGGGACTTTACAAAACAGAAGTGGTGCCTTGCTAAAGGAACCAAGCCCCTCAGTGATTCCCTTGAAAACACCGTTGGACACACACCAGTAACCCTACTGTCCTTCACAAAGACACAGATTCCCCGAAAGAAGGGAGGCTGTGGTCATCAAAAAGGAGCTATACTGCCCCACAACACAGGGTGTTCTGGAGGAAGGGGGTGCCACTTCCCATGAATTAAAAGAAAGCAGAACTCCAACAGCAATTGGCCAAACTGACCCTCGTTGAGATGACAGCTGATCTCCATGGCTGGTTTCCATTCGCCATTCTTACAAGTCAGGTATTTGTAATCGCCCTTCAACATGTAGCCTTCAGCACACAGGTACTCGATGACGCTGCCTGAGTTCAGGGGGTCTTTGCAGGGCCGGGGGTGGCAGATGTAGCCACCATTCTCTGGCTCCGGGGGCAGGGAACACACTGCAAAGACAGAAAGAGCAGAGATACAATGGTGAGGTTTCCCAGTGCGCATCTGTCAATGGCACAGCGGAGGACAGCTCTGAAGGCTTCAACCAGAAACACAGGAGCAAAGAGCCAGTTGCCTGCAAAGGCTGTTGGCCAATTCAGGTTGCCACTGTCAGAGAGAAACATGCTGATAGGAGCAGTTCAGCTGTTTGCAACATTTCTCCATACTCCGCCCTGCCCCACCCCAACTGTCCAACTGTACCTCAGAACTATATCCATGGGTGAACAGTAAATTCTGACTAAAGTCTTGAACTTACAGACATCTAAAACGTATTATATTTCAATATAACCTACTAAAACCCACAATGTATCAGTGAAAAGTAGTGAACTGCTGGTAACCTGCATGAGGAAAGCCTCCAGCATCAATACCAGAATGAACTCCATCAGATAACAATATGCCATCTGGGCCTCAGAGGCCCAGAGACTTCCCAAGTGCCCCGTGCACCTCCACTCCCTCACCAGAGCAGCAGTCACTGGTATTACCGACCACTATGCCATAGTAAATCCCACATTTTTCATTCAGGCAGGACTGAATGTGCTTAAAAGCACCTTTACCTTCTGTCTTATGGCAGAGCCAAGTTCTGATTCTATTCCACCTGGGCTCTTTCCACCTTTAGACAGTGTTTCTATTACAGGGCAGCCCTGATATAAAACGGGGTACCTGACTGTGGATCCTCACCCGCGTGCTTAAAAGGACTTATCAATGCTCTACTGCAGGCACACGCGAAAGGTTAATAAAGGTTTATTTACAAGGGGCAAATGAGGAAATGTACAACTCACGGAGAAAAGTGGGAGACAAAGTTTTAAATGCATCCTACCCGATCCGCCGATCTGGAATCCCAAATGGCACCCTGAGAGCTGGCCGCGAGCCAGGAGCTGTGAAGCCAGGAGGCGAGCAAGAGAGCGACCCCCAAGGCCCACGTGTTTGATTTTTATACCACACCTGGCTGCTTAACTCCACCCTCAGGTCCCAGCCACCTTCCCTTTGGTGGTGACGGGATTTGTCTTTCCCAATGTCCTGATGGCTTTGGTCTGGAGTGGGGGTGGGGTCCATAATGCCTGCATGGGATTAGCTCAGGACATCCTTTCCCCCTAATACTTCTCCTCCAGGCGCAGTATAAGAATCACAACTGTTGCCTTTTTTTCACTTCCTCTGACAACCTGGAGGGACTGGGCGCCAGACGACAGTGTCTCTGGACTGTCTGATAAGGTGCTTTCCCACTCAGAGCACGCCCACCACTCTCTCATGCAGATGTGCCCTTCCAGCCTCTCACCAAACACCACTTCCTTCAACCTACAAACTGCTATTAAGCAAGCTGACTGCCAGCCAAGCCAAGGGTTGGATGCCAAGTTAAAAGAGATGATGGTGCCCTGCCCTCAAGCTGCTTATCATTCAAACAGGGAAAAAAGACTGTATTTTTAAAAAGATTTAAACAAAACAAAGCTGGGGTAGGAGCCACAGGATCCAGGAATCTGGGCAGTTTTTCTGAAACTAGTAAATAGCCTATATAAGCCCCCTTGGTCCTAAGGACACACCTTCAGACTCTTCCCACACTACCCACCATCCCCAAAGTCTTGAACAGGAGAGAGAGAAATACCCACTCTGGTGCATCTTTAAACTCTGGCCAAGTAGTTCAAAGAGCTGGCCAGGCAAATTTCTAAAAACTCAACAAATTGCGTTACCCTTTACATATTCTCAGTTTTGTTCAGGGCAACAAGGTGCAAGAGACCCAGGCAGCTCCCCAGGGAAGGCAGGACCCCTTCACAGGTCCAAAGTGCTGGGAAAGATGCTCTGGGGAAAGAGCTGCTGATTGTGAAGTCACTCCTGCTTTGCTGAGTATTTCTGCCATAAAGCCCACATCTTCACGGACTCATTGACTGGGACCTTGCAGGTCACCCAACACTCATTTTTTATAAGTGAAAAAAGCAAGGCCTGTAAAGTGACTTGCAATTCAATTTCATTTCAATTCAACTAATATTTATTCATCACTGTGGAGGACCACTGCTATGCTCTGAAAAAGGTTGAAAAAGACAAGCATGGTTTCCAGTGCCTGTAGTTAAACAGGGACATGACAGTTAAGTACACACATAAAATATGGACACATAGTATAAAATCCAAAAAGTTAGAAGGGTATGAAAAGTCCTTCACCTGTCCCCTAGTCACTGAATTCCTTTCTCAAAGGCAGTACTCCAGCTTCTTCAGTATTCTCCCAAAGATATCCTACACACAGAATATTCTGGTACATCTCAGAGAACGTGCTTGGTGGCACAAGAGAGGAATCTTGAAGCAGGAAAGATCACATTTTGTGTATGGAAGACAAGGAAGTGGCATTTCAAATGGGGTTTTATTTCATCAGGATAGGACGTGGTAGTTCGAAGCAAATGCATCAAAGTAAGAAACTACAGGGTAAAGCCCAGAGAACATCAAGTAGCCCAGTTTAGCTGAACTGTACAGTCTAGTAAAGAAAACTTAACCCCCCAAACACACACAAATGAAGAGAAATGAAAGCATCCTGGGACCTGACTGCAACAGGTATTTATACCACATCCAAAGGAAAACGGGAGCCTTTGAGCAGTCATGAGAAGGGCAGAACTTGACAGAAAGAGTGGAAGTTGATAGAAGATGGAGCAGGTGTAGAGACAGCCTTTAAGAATATGTCAACAGTATAGCAACCCTAAGTGTGGCAAAATAAACTATACAAAAGCTCCTTCACATTTATCCATGAAGGTCATACAAAGGAAACAAAGGAATCAACTACATGGATTCAGCATTGCATTCTGCTCCAGGTCCAAAGAAGGACATAAGGAAGCTTGGGGGATGGGGGGAGGCAAGGTCATTTTAAAACACCAAGAATAGTAGGAAAAATACGGTCCTTCTGCCCAGTCAAAGAACAGAATAAGAGAGTCTGGGCAAAGGGCAGAGATTCCAGAGGATCCTCTTGGTGAAACCTGTGTCAACAGGAAAGGGAAAAACACCAGAGAGCAAATAAATCATTTCACGACTTCTGGAAGTCTCTGTTTTGGGCAAGAAGTTGACTTAATCTGTGCATCAGGCTCACTCTGACAACCCCAGGTCCCCAAAGGGAGTTTCAAACTCTGTTCTTAACTCTGAGAGATGATAAACTCATCTGATTTGGCAAAGCTGCAAAATGTTAAAAAGAGATGGAGAAAACCAGAAGACAGTAATTTTACAGGAAAAAAAAATCAATTAATTCGCCATAGTTTGCTTCTCTGCTTTCCTTTAACTCCCACAGCCAGCGAGCAACAGGAGGCGGCAAGCAATTCTGCAGGCAGAGCGCCCTGTGGACAGTAGTCTCTCAGTGAAAGATGTCCAACCAATGGGTGAGGGAGCAGATGGAGAAGATGCAAAATGATCTCGCTGTGAGTCACTGCAGCCTAAAACCCTCGGAAGAAACCAACAAGAACCCTTAACTAGCCCTTCTAAATGTTTTGCTTCTGTTTTGGGGAATCAGCCTTTTAGGGGGAAGAAGCAAATTAAAACAAAACAAACTTTTATAAGATTCCATAAAAAGCAAATCAAAACAAGCTCCAGGAAAGGCCCAGGGGTCATGTTCTGTTTAACAAACTGAACAAATACTTGGGCCTTTAAAAGGTGGTAACGGGGAACAGGGAGTGTGAAGACCAGCTTGAGGAGGAGAACCAGACATTTAAATACCTAGTGCATTTTAAAAAGACTCAACAAAGGAGGTTCTGGCTGAGGAGAGTTACTGAGAAAACTCCACTCTTAAAACAGTGATTGCGGGCTTAAGAAACTGCCAGCTCACAGGTTTAAAATAATGTAGTTTTAAACTAAAATCAGTGTGGCAGCATTCAGAAGAAGACAACGAGGCACAGAGAAATAAATACACAATGAAGGTATCAAAAGAAAGTATGACAGGAGGAAAAGCTTTCCTGGGAATTCAGGGAACAACCCAACCCAGCACACTGACACTGTCATAAGGGACAAAGCTGAAACAGTGCCGTGAATGTCTCTAGTGGTGGTAATTTCGTCAAGAAATTAGAATGGGTGGGGCTGTAAAGGTGTATGTGATAACACTATGCGCTCAAAAAGCTTACAATCTAAAGAGGACACAGACAAGCACCCAGTGAGCTGCAAAGTAAACCAAAGAAGGTGCTCGTTTCTGTTATCCTGGGGTCTCCTTCTAGGCAGAGACACCTATTCATTCAAGCACTGCTGGTAACCAGAAGAAGGAAGAGTCCAAGGCAAAGAAAAACAGCAAAAAATGAGGGAGGGAAGGAATAAATGGATGCCATGTCTAGCACAGCATTGCCCAAGAGAAATATAATACAGCCACAGAGGTGATTTTAAACATCAAATCGTGTTGAGATATTTTAGATTATCTTTTTTAAAGATTTATTTATTTATTTATACAAGCACTGGGTATAGTCAGAAGCGCAGGAGGGCGAGAGAATTCACCAGAGACAGAGTGGGGAACAGAACAGGCAGACCGATGAAATACACTGCTGAGGGGAGCAGTGGGCACGGCAGGAGAGGTCTGCGCGCCATGTGGGACCCTTGCCGGCGGCCGGGGATCAAACCGGTGTTGCAGAGGCAGCCGGCAACTTTGCAGCCCAGCGCTCAACCGCTGCGCCACCGGGGAGGCCCTATTTTAGATTATTTTTTTCCTAAGTCTTTACACTTACAGCACATCTCTAGTCAGAATAACTGTATTTCAAGGTTCTCCATGGCCACTTGCAGCTGTGGCTGTTGTACTGAACAGCACAGATCCTCAGTGGAGAACAAGTGTGTGTGGGAGGCACTGGAGGAGCCTGGAGATCTGAAAACAGTGGAAAGGGTTCAGAACTGTACCCTGGCTGGGGCTAAGAGGTGAGATGTGGAAAGAAGGTAACACAGTTCTTTCAGGTTGATTTAAAAAAGCACAGTTAATGTGCTTGCTCTCAAAACTCTTTCTTGATAGATGAAGGTCCAAGTT